TTTCCATTCCATACTTCTAATCCTTTTAGCTGCCTTCCTTCCACAGAAAATATGAGCATTATTGGAAACTTAGGCAAAATGTTCATCTAGCTTTAAGGTCACTCATGCTCTAGACATACTCAGGGTCCATTTTACTCATAGCTTTGGTATATCATATGGACTAAGAGCAGCCCTATTACTTTACAGTTACATTATAGTGATAAAAGCTAAATAACATAAAATAAAATAAATGTGTATGTATATGAAGCATAAAGTTTATACTTCACATACAATTAAGAATATTAAATAATACTGCTCTACAAATGTAAAATCAAAAGCACACCAAGCAGAGCCTAAGGGACTGAAAACAAGCCATTATCAAAAAGGGATTGATATCTCTGTATCAAGCATGTAACACTTAGCTGCCCATCTAAGCTATCAGAGCATTTGTTTGCTGTAGCTTCTCAGTGATTGCAAAAGTATCTTTTCTGCACAGCTCTGCCCTCGGGCTTCTTTCCCTCTGTCTCTCTCTCTTTTTCAGAGATACTGAACACTGTCCTTTTCTGACAAAGCGCCCTGTATGATCTCATCCTGTCACCCCCTTGCCTGGCCTCAGCTTGGCCTCCTGACAAAAGCAAAAGTAGCTTTAAGACCAATGAAGAAGTTCAGTAGCTCAATAAACTATCAAAAAAAATAAAAAATAAAAAAATAAAAATCACAGAAAATGATTCCCTCTTAGATTTTTTTTTTAACAAACATTGATTGTTATATTCTGTTTTACTTAAAGTAAAGCTACCAAATAAAATAAAAGCAGCAGATAATACACTCAGAAAAAGTTCAGATGTCCAAGCAGGCACCGTTGTGAAAGCAGAACTCAGACATAAGGTAGAAAGAAAGGAATACGCAAACACCCCTGCACTCGCATACTAAGAGCGACTGAGGTTGCTGCAGTGTGAAAGCAAATGAGCATGCAGCTAACCTGCTGTGCCATTCCCTATAGGTGTCACGACAAGGCAGAGGAATTTGCCTCGGAAGATTTGGAGAGCAGCTGTCACCAAAAGAGAGACATATATTTTTAAAGACTTTGTCTTCAGGGTGGGAAACGCTGTGTCTGACCTCCCGCTGATGCAGCAGCCCAGATGCAGCAGCATGGGCTAGAAGAATAAAAGGAGGCACCACTTCATTTCAGGTACAAACACCAGAAAGCAGAGACAAAAGGAACAGTCAGTAAACTGTCATTACTATTTAAAAGTGCACAACAACTTTTCAATATTTTTCATGCCACACGGGTGTCCCCTCAAGGCATATTCCAAAACAATTCATATTAGCTAATTGCTGACTACCTCAACAGCCAATTAAAACAAGACAGACAAAGTGCAACATCAAACACTGTTTTGGCAATACTGAATTTGGGAACTGCTAAGGAACTGACGGCTCTTGGTTGTTTCCTGTGGGTTCCTCTGGCTGAGACTGTGCCACCTGAGAAAGCTTCTGCCCCACCTGGCTCCAGCTGTCCATCTTCCCATTCCTTCCCTGCCATTCGCAGCTTGTGGAATCATTCCCTAGACTCCTAGCTTATGTGAGACAGGTCAGCAGACACCGATCACTAAAATTTTTTCAACCAAGTGGCATAAACAGTGTGGGGCTGACTGTATTAACCAGAGGTGTGTATTTCCAAGCCAGCTGTGAAGCCAGGTGTCACACTCTCTGACTTCGGGCTCCAGATGACTTCTAACTGTAATACAGATACTTCTGGACACCACCATCTGACTCCTAACTCTCAGCTGGGCCCTGCGGAGAGCCAGCCAAACAAAAAGCAAGCCATACCAGCAAACATTTTCTGCCAGTTTCAGCCTGGGGAGATCCACCAGTTTCACTGAGCAGAGCTGCAGAGCCTGAGAGCCATCAATTTAAGACCACTTGAGGTGTCCTGACTTGCAGGACATCAGTCAATAATCCTCATAGTAGTTTATACAGAAGCACTAATAGCAAGTGGACTTCCAAAGGGTTTAATTTGGTTTAAGTTGAGAAGCTTTTTCTTTTCATATTTCAGAGTGTCAGAAATTACACACTATGGATTGAAAATATCTTTAAAGCTATCGCTTTGGGAGCATTAAATTCCTACTTGGAGGAACAAATTCAAGCCACTGCAAATTTCCCTTCAGCCCAGTGGAAGGGAAAAACAAATTTTTTTTCATTAAAGATAATGCCAATTAAGAACCTTCTGTCATAAAATGATGAAGAAGTGTTGAAGGTGTCTTAAAAGTAAAGATGTGACTTAAAAGTAAAAAGAATGAGCTACTCAAAACAGCATGCAAGAATCCTTATCAACTTAAGCAAATCATAAAATGCCACTTTCAATGATGTTCATTATTAAAAAAAACAACAATAATAAGCAAGAGACAATCTCAACATTTTTACAATAACTGAATGATGGAGCAGAGCCACTGTTACTTCAGAAATCAGAAAACATGTTCAAATGTTGAAGAAGAAAAATTGGGATAGTTTCAAACAATTTCATATCTGTAATCCTCACCTGTCAGTATTTCAAGCAGCCCATTCAATGTTGTAGCTCTTGCAAGTCATATATGAACTTAACACCATTAAGAGTAGGGACTATATTTGATATTTCACAAAATATATTATGGCATGCTCCAAGTTATGAATACTTAATACAGACAAAAAGAGCAATAAAAATGCAATGTGGTTGGGCATGCTGAAATCCCAGGAACAACAGGTGAAACAACTAAATACATGGTAAAACTAAAGTAGTTGTGAAACCAACTATTTAAGATCACTGGTAATATATTAGTTATGTATGTGATGTGTCTGGGAAGTAGGAAGCAAAAAAAAAAAAAAAAAAAAAAGACTGAAAAGCATATTTTTTTTTTACAGTACACTGGGGGAAGAGCTCATGAATTCATTATCAACTTTCCCCCATCTGGAGTACTGTGTCCAGGTGTGGAGCCCTCAGTACAAGAAAGACATGGAGATTTTGGAAAGGGTCCAGAGGAGGGCGACTAAGATGATCAGGGGGCTGGAGCACCTCCCCTATGGGGACAGGCTGAGGGAGTTGGGCTTGTTCAGCCTGGAGAAGAGAAGGCTGAGGGGTGACCTCATTGCAGCCTATCAATACCTGAAGGGAACCTACACCCAGGAGGGGAGTAAACTCTTCAAAAGGGCTGATAACAGCAGGACTAGGGGAAATGGTTTTAAGTTGAAGGAGGGAAGATTTAGGTTGGATGTTAGGGGGAAGTTCTTTACTAGGAGAGTGGTTAGGCCCTGGAACGGGCTGCCCAGGGAGGTTGTGGATGCCCCGTCCTTGGACGTGTTTAAGGCCAGGTTGGACGGGGTCCTGGGCAACCTGATCTGAATGTGTATGTTTGGTGGCCCTGCTAGGCAGGGGGGTTGGAACTACATGATCCTTGGGGTCCCTTCCAACCCGGGTGATTCTGTGATTCTGTGATTCCCTGTGTTGCATCAATTAACAATGGGAAGACTGAAATCTGTATGGATTGGGGTAGTGAGCATGGGGGAACGGAAAAGGATACTCCAAAAAAATAACAACTGTGGAAATGAAACACAGAAGCTGGGTTTTTCTATGACTGACAGTGGCTTTCAAGACCATCCTCTGATACCTGTTAGAAAGGCAAAGGACTGTAACATGAAAAAAACCCCAAGACTGACAACTTCACCTCCACTAACACATTGATAGAGACACACCTCAGGAAGAACTGCTGAGAGAGAGTACGAATACTTTTACCAGGAATCAAAAGTCTTGGTTAATGCACTCCTAGCATGAAATCCTCACACAAGCCTTAAAAAAACCCACAGAGAAGTGACAGCTAACAGTTGGAGAAGCTTGCTATGAATTCAGAAAAAAGGAGATTGTGCCTGGTTAACTAAATGTTTCATCTTCCACAAAGTTTTCCTGGAAGAAAATTAGACAGTTCATGGGACATTTAGTAAAATTAATAATCCATTCCCATACAAAGGATTAATCAGAGAGTCCAATTAACATGCTATGATATGAAAGCTGCTTTTTCGTGAGGAACTCCTTAGAGCTCTAAGGACTGAAGAACAATTATGAGAGAAAGAAGTTCGGGGTCGATAAAAACTGGTAAGGAACATGAAAATAAATGCTACTAATACCCAATTAGCTGACTGCACATTACTGCTTTGGAAAAAGGTAATCTTTTCTGATGTTCTAACACTGTGACTGTGTATCAGTTGCTAACCAGAAAGTTATCTACGCTCTGGAACAGAGCATTTATCTGCCTCTTTTTCAAGCCAGTACACATTACATTGGGATTCATCAGCTAAAAAAAAGAAAATCAAAATTGAATGCTCCAGATAAATAGAACACAATGTGAGAAGCAGAAAGATCTTAAAGAGCATTTTATGCTTTTACTATACAGAAGAGCAAAAGCGATAAATCATAATCAAATATTGTTACTTCATCAGAGACCCATAACAGATTATTTACATAAAATACCAGAAAAAAATAACAACTTGATATTATTGTTATGTCATTCCCACTTCTTGCCTCAAAATTCAGAAACGAATGAGTAGACCTACAAGAAACTGTGCTACTTCTTTGCACATACATATGCAGTCCAGAAATGAGAGCCTGGCAACAGCTGTATCTGAAACTACAGATTGAACGTGAAAGATGTAAGAGAGGCTGACATATGACATAAAATCAATGGTTTATCAAGATGGAGGGGTCTGAGAGTGCTCATTCCCTCCCTGAGATTACTGAGCATCAGTGTTTCTGAAAGTAACGCTTCATCTATAAAGTCAAACAGGACAACAAACAGCACTACTTGGGAAACATGCATGCTGCCTTCGTCATTTGTCTTCAGAAGAGCATGCTATTAAAATGCTAAGATCTGCAGCACTGTTGCCACGGTATACTTAGTTGTCTTTTGTTTTTAAAGAACCAATTCAGTAGTAAGCAGTAGTTATTCAGAGTATGATCATTCAAAAATCATGGATATACCAAAAAAGACATTTCCTACCCGCTGATTTTGGAGTGAATTTGTCCCTGTTGGCTGCACATACTGCCAGTAGCCTGTATCCAAGATCCAAGTCAAATCCTTGCTGAGCTGCCACTCGACTCACCACCTGCAGAGGGAAATAAAGAAAGCTTCATTAGGGGTTACTCAAGCCTCTTTCAAAGTTGCATTAACCTGCTTATCAGCAGTAACGTTAGACAACTGAATCTGCTGTTGCAATATCCACAGTACAAATATGATATGACTCTGTAGTTAACACAGCAAGCACAGCAAAGTGAACGCATGGATCTCTTCTGGTGATCTCGTTATTTAAACACATGCCAGAAGAAAAGCCTCACAGATCATTTAAAGTTGGAGGGACAAAGATTTTCCAGAAAAAAAAAATAATTAAAAAAAGACCAAATGAGAAGATTGTACAGAATACACTTCACTGTACTTGAGAATTGAGGATAAGCAATCTCCTATATGTCTGTCCCTGGGTCACAGTTCCTGGCCCTGCTCTTAAGAGCACTGCATATGTCTTTTAGGTTAAAATGCCCTCCTCCTCTACTGTGATCAGTGTCACAGTTGCTGCATTTCAACAATACTGTATTGCAAAACACATTTACTATGGCTTTTAGAATAAATAGGCCTGTGACTATTTGCCAGACACATTAAATATAGAAAGAAGGGCTTGGTGTTTCTTTTTTTCTTTTTTTTTTTTTTTTTTAATTTCTCCCAGTAAAAAGGAACTGAACTAGAAGGAATCTAAATTTCTTGCAGGACTAGCCCAACTAGGCAAATGACCGACCAGGGTTAAGGATGGAAAGTAGTCAACAGTTTCTCCGGGCCAGCAACTCAACTATCAGCCAAGAATGTATCCTCATAAAAATCTGCATAGTATAAACACAATACTGTGGTCATTCTGGCAAGCTATGCTACAGTTGTACACAGCAGAGCTTTTAATTGCCTTTGAGTTGCACAGGATGACTTCAGACTCAGAGGCATAAAGAAAACTGATTATTCTTAACATATTCTTTCAAAACTTTGAATTGAAACAGTGGTCAAAGAACTCCACAAGAAACAAAACACAATGTCTCTGAGTGAAGTAAAAGAAAGTTCCAGCCCTAAATAGCTTAGAATACAAGAAAATACCCTTTTCCCACCCGTCTCCATTTGAAAAATTCTTTCTAAATCAGTGACAGTGCAATAACCCGTGTCCAGCACTGACTCCCCAAAGATGCAATGACACAGAACAGAGTAAGGAATCAAGATATACGACAACCTAGAGATTATGAATGAATTCACCTTTCTGGCCTACATTCTGAACACTATAACATGAAGCTTATTATTTGGAAATTTTTTTCCAGTATCCACTTTCCCCAGTTAACAGTAAAGAACCAGATTTCTTTCTCAAGAAAGAAGTATCATAGATATTATTTCTGGGTAGATTTTTGTTGTTGCTTTTCCAACTAATTTAGAAATCACAAATTCATCTGAATTTACTAAGCAGGAGTGATGCTTCCCTAATTTCTTCTACTTTCCCAGTCTCAAATCTGAGCAGTAGGGGACTTCAGGGGAGTTAAAAGAGAATTTGGAATTATCAGTACTACACAGCACTACTACCAGCAACATACAATCATATCTGTATTTTAGCTCTTGTTTCTCTTTACAATTAAAATTGACTAAGTTGACTACAGGAAAGAGAAAATAATTTGGGAGGAAAGCTGTAAATATCTTTGATAAATCAAAAAACATCTAACTTGGCAGATCAAACTTTAATCCTTTACATACAACAGTTCTTAATATTTTCATTATGAAGTTGGGTTTGAACTTGCATCAAGATAAAGGTTAGAACAAACAAAATATGTAGAAAAGAACAATAAGATAACAACTAGATATTTTGTGTTTCATTAAAGATCAACAAGAGGAGGAAAAAAATGATGGGTTGCTATGAGATCCAGGGGATATTTCCACGCTTAAGTATCCCCTTTCTGAATCCCAGTGCTACCACAGCTCACTGACAGGTACATGCTAGAGAAGGGATCGGTACGAAACAGAAAAATTCATTTAAATTAATGAAAGCCTTGTTAAAAGTTCCTGAGGGCAATGTGCCATTAACGTGTAAACATTATTTAATTTCCTTCAGGCACCATCCACCACATATCAGAAAGAAAGGGCTCTCCCATTTTCTTTCTTGAAAAAGCACGTTATCATCAAACTACTCATTTTGAAGCCAGTCAGGAACGAAAGCAGATACGGCCGTTCATCAGCAAGCACACAATAACTAAAGAAACCTGCATCATATGCTTCTATGCTTAGTTCATTTTTAAAAGTGCAGTTATAAATACTGAGACACACTAGCCACAGGTCTAGTCAGTACTCTGAACTGACATTATGCTAATTATGGAAATCATGTTTCCTAAGATAATTCAGGAAATACAAAAACCATAAACTCCTGAACCCACAACTATCTATGATTGCAATGTCTTCGCAAAAGAGACTGGAAAGAAAGAGCAGGCCAAGGTCTACTCTGTTACACTCTCATTTGGCAGCAGTTTCCTTCTCTGAATTTCCTCTAACAGTCAGAGAAAATCCCACTCTGTACCCTGCTGTGACTGATAGAAAGCAGAGCTCACAATGCTGGCCATGCCCTTGGCCTGGGCACCATCTTGTGCAAGCTCAACATGGTATGGGCCAGCTGTGCCTCTCCCACAAGAGCAGCAGGCAGGAGAGCAAGTGAGAGGAGGAACAACCCAAATTTGTGAGCCTAGTGAAGTCAGCTGGTCAAGTGTCACTCTTTGCTTAAGTTTTTCATCAGTCATAAAGGAAAACAAATTAAAATTCACTTTTATTAAAAAATAATCTAAATTTAACAGGTTTTCCATTGAAAGAGAGGACAGAAAATCTTCCTCCCCTCAGAGAGCAAAACCAAAATGCTCAACTACTTAGTGGAAAACAAACACTTTTAATAAAATTTCCAAGAGTTATTTTCCACCCAAGTTTTTCTTCTCCCCACTCCTCTAAGGCTGGAAGAAGCTGTGTGAAACAAACTGCTCTGGCAGTGCTCAGGAGGGCACGCCATGTCCTGCTGCTCCCCAGCCTTTGGATGCTACACACTGCTTCTCAGCCACTGTCCTGCCTACATGGATACGGCAGGTCCACTTTATGTCCAGTGTCTTTGTAGGCTCACAAAAATGTTTAAGTGACTGTATTTAACATCGTTCTCTCAAAAGTAGCAGCCAAATACTTACTTTTATTTTAAACTGAAAGTTGAACAGTGGTTTGTGTGCCCTCCAACAAGGGCTGCAGGCTGCTCACAGCTGCAGAGGCACTGCATCATTTCTTATACTGCTCATTGGATACTGGGGAAGCTTTCCTCCTATGAACTTGTATACCAGGGACTTCCTCTCTCTTTAAATAAACATTGGGATTCTCAGAAGCAAGACAATAAATATATTGCATGAATATGGTCCAGAAAACACAAAGAATCAACAAGAAGACTGTTGGTAAATTTAGTATATTCAAACCAGTAGACCCAAATAAAATATATCTCAGAGTGCCTCAAAGGAACTAGCCTGGGCAAACATGGTAACTGCTTGTGATTATTGCCAGGAGTTCATTCAAGGCAGATGCTTTGGAGGCACACACCAAATCTCTGTTAGTAAGATGGTTAAAAGGTGAATCTTAGAAATTACAGTTACCCAGTCTGATAACAAAATAAATTACTAAATCAGTATTACATTTACAATACAGAGCATCATCCCAAATCCATCAGCATAGTGCAGTTTTCTTCTTCGATGAGTTAACTGGCCTTGTAAATATAAGGAAAGTAGTACATCTATCTTATCTCAAATAGGCCTTTTGACATTGCTCAATATGGCATCGATACAACAGATGAGCAGAGCTTAGATGACATTAGCATAAACTTACTTATAAAACTTTAAAATTATAAAAACTTATAAACTTCCTTATAAACTATTGACTAATATTCCTCCGCCAGATCACAACATGTCCTAGATACAGGCCACTATGTGTTCTATGTGTTCTATTTTGACAAAGACAATGAAAGAAGTTAACTTGCAAAACTTCTACATGATAACATGCAGAGGGGTCTGCAAGCACTTAAGACTATGATAAGAGTTCAAAATAACCTTGAAAAACTACAGAAATGTTTTAAAAAATTAAAACATGTATGAACTATTATAGCATAGAAAAATCGGACACCCAAACAGAAAATTAGGCATAACTGGTGAGGCAGAAATACTGAATAAATGAATTCAGACTCAACAACAGGAATAAAATGTTGAAAATGAATTTCTGAAGAATGTATCAATAGTTTCATTTTAATCCAAGAGAAAAGAGCAGATCAATTTTCACATATCTGCACAAAATCAGTATTATGTGAGTCATGCAGAACATCACCATGAGTCCATCAGATTCATGTGCAACTAGAATTCATCTGCCCAGTGTATAAGTGACTGAAGATAAATACTGGGAAAACTTTTGAGGTTCAGGCACTAGAACAAAGTAGCAATCTCTGGAGTCCAGGGGTTGGGGTTTTTACAGCAGACTACTCAATATCTATAAAACACTTAAGATTAGGGAAAAAGATAGGATATTAAGCTCTATTAGGTCCATCCATCCTAAACTTAATCTCAGCAATGTGGATACCTGTTGCCAGCTGGTGTCATGCCACTTTGCCTGCACCCCACACAAGCAACAGTCCCAAGTGTAAAATCTGCCATGATTTAGATCATACTTGAGTAACAATGTTCATCAGGTGGGATTGAATCAACATGGTATCAATTATCAACATTATGGTTAAGTGATCTGATACCACTTGCTAACATACTCGGGCTTTCTCTAACTGCAAATTCAAATTCAGTGCACAGGCAAAGATTCAGATGACACACAGGCAGCAATGTGTGTTCAAACATGATCTCATTCCGCAGTGCTGTGAGCATGTATCTTACTTGGCCTAAGCATATATGCCATGAAATTCAGAGGAAAAGTAGAGCACAAAAAAAAAAAAAAAAGAAAAAAGAAAAGAAAAAGATATATTTGTCAATGACACCATAATGATAAAGAGGAAACTGCTTAGCCAGCCAACCCAAGGTTCTACACTTA